AGAGAGAGAGAGAGAGAGAGAGAGAGAGAGAGAGAGAGAGAGAGAGAGAGAGAGAGAGCTCACGGACGTCGCAAAATGATTTGCATTTGAAGTTAAGTAGTTAGGCGGTCTAGTTTTTGGTTGACGAAATGCGAAACAAGTTCGATTCGATTCGATTGACGAAATGCGACAAGTTCGATTTGCGAAATGCGAAACAAGTTCGATTGTTGTAAATCATCATGTGTCTGCTGCATGTTGTGATGGAAGTTTCGCATGTCGTAGCGGTCAAGTACAGCGACCTGCTTTGACAGTTTCTGCGGAAGGCAGAGGAGGGGGGGGGGGGAGCAAATAGTGCCGAAGAAGGGAAATCGCAACGCCTTGATAGTCGGGGGCTTTGGGACTGCTGCTTAAGGGCATACTCGCACTAAGACTTCGGCGATTGAATCTGGCTGTTGTAGCGGTCAAGTGCATGCAGGGAAGTGCTAGTAGTAGTGTGAATGCGGCCCAAGAGTCCCATACAGGCGCAAGGCGCAAACTTTATCCATCGTTTGTAAATCAATCAATCAATCAATCAATCAATCAATCAATCAATCAATTGAAAGGTTTTATTGAAGTCCTCTAAAGTTTAAACGCATTCGAAAAAATAAGCCCGTCGTGCGGACAATGAGCATGAGAAAACGCGGAGGAGGAGGAGGAGGAGGAGGAGGAGGAGAGAGGTAAGGAGGGAAGATGATGACGACCCCAACACAACAAAAGAGAGGATCAGAAGAAAAAGAAGCGAAATCAATCTTTTATCCTCCCCTCTTCCCCTCATCATCATCATTATCATCATCATCATTATCCGCAGCAGCAGCAGAAGCAGCGTCATCTTTGGCCTTTCTCGTCGCCATCGCTATGCCATGTCTCTACTTCTTCTCTACGTCCCCCTCCTCGTCCTTCCCTACCTCCTCCTCCACCTTCTTCTCCCCCTCTTCCCCTCAACGTCAACATCACCATCACCATCATGGGTCGATCCTGATCCTCTCTTAATTACTCTGTCTCCTTCACCACGGGTCGTTCCCCTTTGTTTTGTTCTTGACGCCGTCCTTCTCCTCAATCTTCACGCCCTTGCACCTTGTAGGAAGCAGCAGCAGTAGCATCAGGAGGTGGAGGAGGAAGAGGAGGGGGAGAGGGAGGAAGAGGTGGAGACGAAGGAGGAGGAGGAGAAGGAGAAGGAGGAGGAGGAAGAAGAAGAATTGAATTGAATTGAATCTCTTACACTTCACGTGACGCTCCCAAGAATCGAACACACGCCCTCCCGGTCAGGACGCAAACACTCAACCAAACGGCTAAGTGGACTGGGGTAAAAGTTAAGCCCCAAGATGAGCACTTAACCTACCCCAGCAGGGGTACTCGTTTTTCCCCGCGACCCGGTGTACCTAGTCACACACACACCCAACACAGGCGTCGACGCAGCCACCACACAAGGTACGACCGCACTGCAGGTTGCTACGCAGGTAAGAAGAAGAAGAAGAAGAAGAAGAAGAAGAAGAAGAGGAGAAGAAGAAGAAGAAGAAGAAGAAGAAGAAGAAGGAGAAATGAAAACGCGTCGTAATTTGTTTCTCGGTACAGTGAAAATGTGATTGCGGATTACCGTTTGCGCGCTCCAGCGGAGGCCGAGGGGTTTCTTCTTGTGTTGTTTGCCGTTGTTCTTTTGAGCCCGAGGGGCATTCAGGTTCGCGTTAGGGGGCTTTCTGGAATCGTCATAGATAGGCGAAGGAGGAGAATGACCACGAGGAGAAGGGTGAAGGAGTAGGAAGAAAAGATGAGGAGGAACGAGAATAACTAAAAGCCAAACCGAAAGGGAAAGCGATGGAAATAATACTAGTAAACAAAGGACTGAAATCACCATAGCCTCTGCTTCCTCCTCTTTCTCCTCCTCCCCCTAAACGACTGCTTCTTTACGTCGGCGTCATCATCTTCCCACTCCCTTATCATCATCGCCTCTTTATCTTCCCTCCTCTTCCTCCTCCTCCTCCTCCTCTTCTTCTTCCGATCGTTGTTTATCGCCATCATCGTATCTTCTTCTCAGCATCCCGTCTTCCGTCCCTCGCTTCCTCTTCTTCCTCTTCTTCCTCTTCTTCCTCTTCTTCCTTCTCTTCCATCCATCTTAATCTTCATCGCTCACCATGGGCATGTTGGGCTGCTTCAGCACTTCCCTTTCTAGTGAGAGTCAGTCTTATCTTCTTGAATGTTGGGCATCGCTCACCAAAACGCGACCTACTTGAATGATGCTTAGTGGTCCCTTTAGTATCGACTGGCACACCTCCAACCGTTAGTTCCTCCCTTGCCGCCCCCCGCCCCCCCTCCCGACGTGTTCACCTTTGCCCGCATATTGTGGCCTTATCCGTCCCCCACAGAAGTGCTCACTTTTGCCCCCATGTTGTGGCTTTATCCTACACCTGCGCCCCCCCTCCCCTCCCCCCCCCCAACAAAAAAAAAGAAGAAAACAGATATCCGTTGACATCTTTTCACACCTGCTATCCGTTTGTACTCCGGATGTTGGTCACATTAGTCAATCTCTCTCTCTCTCTCTCTCTCTCTCTCTCTCTCTCTCTCTCTCTCTCTCTCTCTCTCTCTCTCTCTCTCTCTCTTTTTTCGTTTTTTCCCCTTCGTACCTTCCTTCCTTTCTCCTCTTTTTTCTCCGTTTCTTTTTTTGTTTTTGTTTTTAAAGGGCACCGGTCTTGATATATCACCATTCAACTGACCGTCCCCACGAATACTTGCGCGCACACGAACGCACATACACACGCACGCACGCACTCACGCACGGAAACACGCAGATGCTCTCTCTCTCTCTCTCTCTCTCTCTCTCTCTCTCTCTCTCTCTCTCTCTCTCTCTCTCTCTGTCTGTGCACGCAAACCCAACGAGTGCACGCGCATGCCACACACACTCGCACTGTGGGAGGAAGAGAGGGAAGATGGGGGGAGGAAGGCATCCCCCTCTCTAGAAGGCACTAGAAGGCAACGAACGCAGTGTGGAAAGTAGACTCTAAGCCATATGATGCCACAAAGGAAAGACGCATGGCGAAGTCGTCACTGTGAAGCTTCAACAAAGCCGAGACCTGTCATACCTTGGTCTTGTCCTGCCGTTTGGCCTGTGAAGGAGGGGCGGTGCTTGCATGCGGGACTTGTCATCTAGGATCCGTTTTGGGTGCTATTGCTTGTTGCCCCCTGTTTTGTTGTATTTGGCTGTTTCCTTCCTCTTTTCTTTGCCTCTTTGCCCTTTTGGCTGTGTGCAAGTGGGTCGATATGACACACAGGGGTGGGGGCAGCCGCCGTTCAATCTACATCCACGTGGGCGGCCTTGTACGCAAGAGGAGGCTCTGAACAGGGGGAGTTGTAAGAAAGAAGATAAAAAAAAACGAATTGTTTTTTTCTTGTTTTCTTCTGTGTTTTTCGCTTTTGCGCTCTGATATTCATGTGACGATATATATATAGCTTCACGCGATGAAACATTCTCGTCGACCTGGCGAAATCCGTTAGCATCTGATCTAAATTGGGAATTCAAGCTAACGGATGCTAACGGTTTAGTGGCTGCCCGGTAAACCGTAGGCAGAGAGGGAGAAGACTGACTGACGAGTTCGAAACGGTTTAAGTCTAAATCGGTCAGATCCCACTACCCTGGATTACTCATTTTTCACCCTCGATTACGAAGATCAACGGTCAGAAATGAACAATAGGGGCTAGTGGGATCTGGCCCTAAATCGGTCCGCTTTTTCAATCGAACTTGACATGAACAAGGAGTATTTTGCGTGCAGAGCTTGATTCGGACGTTGGGTCTGTATTTCAACTGTTCCTGGAATCATGGCTATACCCACTGAGTTAGTCCCGTTGCTCTCTCTCTCTCTCTCTCTCTCTCTCTCTCTCTCTCTCTCTCTCTCTCTCTCTCTCTCTCTCTTTATGTCCAGCTGGCCCAATCACTTTTGTTGCGTTCAAGCTTCTTTTTGAGGGTGTACCTCGTCGTTATCCACATCTTCCACACCTTGTAATCTTCTACATCTTCTTCATCTTCTACATCATCCACATCTTCCACATCTTCTGCATCTTCCAGAGTATCCACATTACCCATCCACATCATTCACGGCATCCGTTTCGTTTCTGCTGCCCTGTAAGGCGAGAGAGGCTAGACACGTGAGTCACGTGACAGAGAAAACCAGGTATAGATCCGTACTGAACAGTGGACGTGTGGCTGAATGGCAAATGCCTCTACTGAGTCTACTGCTATGAGAGCCTGCCTTCTTAACATCCACGTGGTGAAGAAGCTGGAGGGTCGAAGAAAAACGATGGAAATATTTACGCTGCACGTTTTTTCGTTGCCGTGTGGTCTGCTTTGCCACACAGTTCTTGATATACTGTTTTTCGTTGGGATGACTTTCTACTCAGGTCACACGTGGAAGCCATCAACAGCCTGAGCTCTAGACCACCTGTCCCTGGTGTTGTTTGCTGTAAATCCTCTAGAAGGGTAAGTTGTGCAGCAGTGTCCTTTCCTCGGTGCTCATCTCCTTGATGCCCCTGCCGACTTCCCTTGTGCCCTTATAAGTGCTTTCTTCAACAAATCAACCAACCAACCAACCAATCAATCAATCAATCAATCAATCACCCAATCACCCAATCACCCAATCACCCAATCACCCAATCGCCCAATCACCCAATCAACCAATCAACCAATCAATCATTCAGCTCTCTGTTCTGAAATAACTGCTTTCTTCAACAAATCAATCAATCAATCAATCAACCAACCAATCAATCAATCAACCAACCAACCAATCAATCACCCAATCAACCAATCAATCATTTAGCTCTCTGTTCTGAAATAAGTGCTTTCTCTAACAAATCAATCAGTCAACCAATCAATCAACCAACCAACCAACCAACCAACCAATCAATCAATCAATCAATCAATCAATCAATCAATCAATCAATCAATCAACCGATCAATCAATCAGCTTTCTGTTCTGAAAGCCGGTAATCTGAATGGCGTCTGTACCAATTTTTCCCCCTCAAATGCTGCCCTTCTACGGCTTGGGTTGAGCATTTCAACCATTACAGTCTTAACTATTTGGACAAAAGACCCAAGCCGTAGAAGGGCGGCATTTGAAGAAGGGCAGCATTTGAAGAAAAATCGAAGAAAAATCCGGTTTGTCGGCTTTGATGTATGTGGTGCTTCTGGCCGAGATGCAATAAATCGGCCTTGTACAGCCAATGTGTTGTGTTGATGTTAATGTGTTCTGTAGAATCCTTCTTTCGTTGGAAAATTCTCTCAAGCGGCAGATCGGTTGAAGTTCGAAATTCTGTCAAAGTGACAGATGGCTTGGAACTTAGAAATTCTGTTAAGCCGAAATTCTGTCAAGTGACAGATGGCTTGGAACTTAGAAATTCTGTGAAGTTACAGACGGCTTGGAATGCGTGTAGTTGAACGCCTTGGGCCAGCGACTGCTGAGGATTACTTGCTCTGAGTTGTTGATCTCTGCTTGTATGCTCCATGATTCTTACGCTTTGCTTGCATACCTTCTACCTTGTCAATGTTTCTGACTCGTTCAGCTGTATGAAGGGAAACATTCCAAGCCGTCTCGTTCAAACCAATGGTAGTTGGATTGGAGAGTGAAAAAATAAAAATGAAAAGAATTGGGTGAGTTGCGTCCTTGGTGGTTTGTGGGAACACTGGACTGTCTTGCCAGAGAAATAGAGGGCTGTGTGTGTGTGTGTGTGTGTGTGTGTGTGTGTGTGTGTGTGTGTGTGTG